CTTCGGCGTCACAGCATGGCAGCGGAGAGTACCTGGCGATGGACACGACGGGTCGGGGAAGCACTGTCGATCCGCTTTACGCTCCCGTGCTTCCGCACAATCGGTCGCAGTCCGAGTCCAACCAATACCACATCTCCCAGCCGTCGCTCGACTCGCTCCATTCCACACTCTCAATGCCACCATTGCGGGACCGAAACCTGCCCGCTTCCTTCTTCCGGTCGCCGAGCTCGGCAGCAGCAGACCGCATCGACAGTAGTGCCATGTCGGAAGCAGGTGCCTCGCATTCGCGCGACTCCTCCCTCGACTCGGGCATTTCCTTCGTGCCGCACCAGCCCCAATTGATCATGAACGGATCCACATTTCCCCCGGTTGCCTTCCACTCGCGGCAGTCTTCTGCCGGCTCCAGCGAACCAACGTCCCAAAGTCATAACCTGCAACAGCAACAGTTGCTATTATTGCAGCAGCAACAGCAACAGCAACAGCAACTTTTGTACCAGCAGCAACAGCAACAATTATCGCTTCCACAGCAGTCTGGACAGATGCCAGGGCAGTCGCCGGGTCTGCTCGTCCCCATGTACAACCAACTGCAACACTCCTACCAAACTTCGCAATCGTCGCCATTCCCACCGGCCACACCGTCGTCTGCACACTCGTCAACCTTCTTTTCGCGAGAGCCGTCCATCTCGTCGTTTCTCGAAATGTCGCTTCACTTTGAGCAGCAACAACAGCAGCCGCAACAACACTCGCGACCACTGTCACACTCTAATTCTGGCAACGTTCTGAGCGCCCAGGCGAACAACCCCGGTTTGCCCGCCAGCGGCAACTCGAGTAACTCGTTGCAGCGCTTGTCTGCCTCATCGCTGGACGAGTCGCCATTGCCTCCAGGGTGGGAGAAGGGCATTAAGGACGGCTTGCCATTCTTTATCGACCACAACAACAAGACGACCACTTGGGTGGACCCGCGGACAGACCGCGCAACCCCCGGAACGCAGGGCCTGAGCGAGCGAAAGCGCGTTCCAGACGTGCTGTCGGATCCGCTGCTCAACCCGACGCTCAACCCTCTTCCGGCGGGGTGGGAAATGGCAATGCATTCGGACGGCATCCCATACTTTATCAACCATCGCAAGCGCACCACGACGTGGATTGACCCGCGCACGGATGTGGACATGCAAGAGTACTTTCGCAACCAAACCTACTCGGCGGCGACCAGTGTGCGACGACGCGACTCTGGTCGCTCGGCCCATGCCCTCTCGTTTGGCAACGGGGCGTCGCCAAGCCCGGCGCCAGGCCTTGAGAACGGCCCGCCCTCCGAGCTGCGCGTGCATGCCTCCACCATGACCAGAATCTCGCCACGCAACACGCCCTTCTCATCCTTTGACTCTGCGCTGCCTGATCCGGGCTATGACCAGATGACTGGCAATTCGTCGCCATTGGCTTCCTTCAACTTGACCAGTCCGCCTCCGCCAGTCTCGCCTGGCATCACGGGCATGGACAGCCAGAGTCTCGCCGGCCTCTCGCAGCGCGAGCTCCAAGCGCGGCGCATGATGCTGCAAAAGGAGCAAATTCGTCTCAAGCAAATGCAGCTGCTGCAAGAGGAGCTCGAAATCCAGCGCGCTCAGCGCAACCTCGCCGTTCTAGAGACGACAACGCGCGGCGGAAGCGCCAAGCTGCCCCCGCCGCAGCTCACCGTTTCCGAATGCCTGACGACGACGACTGCTACCGCGACCGCCGATGTCACTTCCCGCCGAAGCGTCAGCGACACGTCCATGCCCGAGCCAGTTGTTGTCGCAACCAAGGCCAATCGTAGCTCGAGCACCGCAGGATCAACCCTCTACTCGCCCATGCAGCAGCTAGTGCTGCGCTTGGGTCACTCCCAACCGCAGCAGCAGTTTGGTTTTTCTCCAGCCAGCACTCGCCGCAG